CTATTTTTTTTTAAATTTATTTATTTTATCGATGACATTTATGATTGTATCTAATTAAAATATCATTAATTAATATTTTGATTCTTATTTTTGTAACTATATTTTTTTTTACGATATTTATTTAGTATATTATTTTACAACTATTTTTTTCTTATTTGCCTTTTTGATTGACAAAAATTATATTGTCATATTTATTTAAAAAAAAAAAATTAACAAGTGCATTTGCCCCCTCTGAAATGAAATCCTAGCTTCGCCCTGATTATCAACATCGTTGTCTTTATACGTAGACTATTTCAACCCCCTATATATAGCTTAGTATAAATTAGTGTCTTTTACCAATAATCACTCTTTAAGATAATGTTTCTTTTAGCAACTTTTCTTATGCGTGCAAATGTGCTGAGGTTTACTTGGTTGGTGATGTATATACTTGGTTGGTGATGTATATATATCCCATCACCATCCAGCCATCCACACACACAAAAATATAACACTCTTGTACTTGTTAATTGTTATGCCATATAGTTTACGTTTTATGTTTTGGTTAGATTATGCCATATAGTTACGTATACATAATACATGTTGGAGTTGAATACGTCAATTTTGATTTTTTATATTTAGCTATTCTGAAATAATTGTCCAAATTCTAAAGCCAGATATTATATTTTACGACATTTTCAATTGATCAATTTTAATTATTATATTTTACAACATCTTCAATTTACCTATTTGCATTTAACTTATAAAAGTAAAACATCATCACATAATATAGACCCATCATGAATAGATTTGATAATTTATTCATTATCAATACATATATATATATATATATATATATATATATATATATATATAAAGTGACATCTTAAAAAATTTAATTTCAAAAAAGGGACAGTTAAAATGGGGAGGGAGTATATTTTCTTTATGGTTGCGACCGAAAAACACCCTTATAGTATGCATATAGAGTGTGTAACCCCCCTATACGTTCTAAAAAATCCCTAACATTCAATTTTTGAGCAAACAATGGTCCAAATGTAAAAAAGACTAAAGTATCCCTCATAACTGAATACAAAAAGGGTAAAAAATAATTAAATCTGAAATGACTAAAGTATCCCTCTCTTTTTTTTCTTCTTCATCTACATAAGGGCATTATTGGAAGAGAAAAGGGTATTTTCATAATTTTATATCTTAAAAATGCCGTGTGCAGTGAACATGACTAAATTTATAACCAAACAGTGACCTCAATCCCTTCTTAATTTGATCATTTTTTTCAAACTTAATGCACTTATATATCCAAAAAAAAAACATTGGGCGTGATATTCACCCAAAGTTTAAACATCATGGGTGTTTTTCTCACTTTGCCCTTTTCTTTAAGCATTTCACCTTTATGCAACTCAATCAATTAAAATCTATACAATCCTACATGTTGGGAATATTAACCCTCTCTAACTCACTCAACAGCCGGTTGTTGTTGAGTGTTAAATCCTTTATTTATCATACATAGCAGAATTTTGAGGATAAAATATGTCAACTGTTTGCGCAGGAAAAACCCAAAAATTTTGGAGGATCAAACAGAATCTTTGCGCAAAGGGCAACAAAAAGGAAAGTGAAAGGCAAAATTTGCTGTTCACGTGATCGATCGCGTCCTAAGTGTGATCGGTCGTGTGCGATCGATCGCGTCTTAAACGCGATCGGTCGCGTTTGTGGTAAATTCCCTGTAAAATCATATGTGGAGCTCTCTTCGACCTATCTCCAGTGGTGCATGAATTGTATAATCCTTGGGCGGAGATCTGACCATCCTAGAGCCAAAAATCTGACTATCTATGGTGGCTGAAGCATCATTTGATGGTGGATTCGGATTAGGGGTTGATTTGGGGCCAAGTTTTGAAGACTTTCTCTCTCTAGAAATCCCCTCTCAACCATTGAAGATCTTTGGTTGTGCTTAGAGATGGAGATTGGAGCTTCAATGATCATCTCATCCTTCTCCATGGCTAGCTAGTTCGTCTCTTAGGGCTTGGATGAAGCCCTAAGCCAAGTATTGTATTATTTGTTTTTAATTTAGGGATTATTTGTGTAGATTGTTTAACCTTGTAAATTAGACTTGGTTGTACCAAAGATTAATCGTGTGTTTAATGCTTTAATCAATCTTCTTATAATCTCTACATTGTCTTATGCATTGATTGTGGTTGATTGATCTCAACATCTTCACTTTTTATAGTTGTGTGGATGATGGTTAAATAATGGTACTTAATTGATGTATTTGCACTTGATTTGATAATTAATGCTTAGTTTTGATGATTTATACTTGTTGATGCAACTTACATATTCTCTTGACCATGATTGTGTGTTTGTAGCCACAATTCTTTTATTAAACCAAGTATTTTCCTCAATTTGATTGCAATGGTACAATTACAAGGCCAAAAGTGGATTCCATGACCTAAGTCTCTCTATCTCCATTCCATTATCCCTTTATCATTTATTTTATTTGCTTTACTTTAGTTTAGCTAATTGTTAATTATGATTTTAAACAAAGTCCCTTTTCTATTGAATATACTTGTTCACTAATTGTAAATCGAATCAAGCCGCTAGTCCTTGTGAATTATCCCTACTCACTATACTATATAGTGGTAGTAGTTTTGCAAATATAAAATTGACTTTCAAAGCTTCAAAACCACTTTCATATTGACCTTGTGAAACGATCTCTCAGGAACCTCGTTAAACTGTTTATATGCATTTCTCGCTTGAATTCAGATGGAAGGAGGAGACGAAAGTTTGTAAACTCAACAAGTTGCTTTATAAACTAAAACAAGCATCTGGCCAATGGTTTATCAAATTTTATGTTTTCCTTATTACATGTTACATCCAATCTAAAGTCGATTATTCCTTATTCATTCGCTTTGGTGGTGATTACTTCACTGTAAGTCTGGTTTGCAAAAATGATGTTTTTCAGACTGACAATGACTTGTGGTCCATTAATGCACTAAAACAATTTTTCCATTCTCATTTCAAACTCAAGGATCTTGGCAATCTCAAGTATTTTCTGGAAATAAAAGTCTCCCGCATAGGAAAAGGTATATTTCTATTACAAAGAAAATATGCTCTTGAAGTTCTCAAGGATACTAAGTTTATGGGAACACGGCCAACAATGTTTGCCATGGAACAAAACCTTAAGCTGATTCAACTATAAGGGACAACTTCAGGAGGATACCTTTCCTATTCTTGCTTTATAAGAAGAATAATTTATCTAACGATTACTCGGCCTAACATTATGTACGTTGTGCATGTTTTAAGTCAATTTATGGATAAACCAAGAAAGCCACATCTTAAGGCAACACATCGAGTCTAGAGAAACTTGAAATAATCGTCAGGTTAAGGTATATTATTGTCCTCTTCAAGCTCACTTTAGTTAAAGGCAAAGCATTTTGTGATTTAGATTGGGCACCTTGTCATGAAACTCGAAGATCTATGACTGGTTATTGTGCATGTCCTCCTACAAGATTCTCTCATTTCATTGGAAATCAAAGAACCAAACAACCACGTCAAGGTCATCCGCAGAAGCAAAGAACAGATCCGTGGCTACGTGTTGTGGAATAACGTGGCTGACACACGAGGCCCTTCATATAGCCATAAATCTAGTCTTTCACGAAAGAACTAAGCAAATTGAAATACCATGGTCATATGGTTGGTGAAAAGCTCCAAGCTGGTATGCTGGTATCATTCTCACACGTATCAGCAATCAATCTGCTCATATTTTCACAAAATCTCTCGATGACAGGCAGTTTCATCACCTAATTCACAAGTTGAGCAATATTGATATCCGTGCTTCAACTTGTGTGGGAGTGATACAGATTATATACAGCTGTATTTCCGGCTTTTCCTTCATGATTACTTCCTAAGATTTAAGATTTGATTGTAATCTTTAATTTGACTTTGATTGAAATCTTTAATTTGACTTTTGAGTTCTGATTGTAATCCTTAAGGACATTCAGTTGTAATCAATGCAAAACATATATATTCAAAACTAATTCAGTTTTGTCATATGCTTCTAAGAACAGTATTTATATATCTTTATTCCTTGAGAACTTGAACAAATCAAGACAAATGGAATGCTGTTCAAATCAAGACAAATCTTTGTCGAGCTTTTATCTACAGGAATTGCACTATGTCAACCACACTCGCAGAAAAGGACAACCCCAGTCCTCTTTTTGCACCAATGCTCGCCCTCTATGATTATAAATCCATAATAAATCGGTGTCATAACATATACAAACACGAATAAATAATCCCAAGTCAAGGTACAGCCTTTAAAGGTGGCACAGAACCTTGAACAATTGCAGAACTGTTCCTTTAAAACTCTCACATGCCAATAATTAATGTGTAGAATTAAAGGTTTGCAAGCATGAACTTTATTGCGTCAGTGGCTACTCGAATATTTATACCATCATACATCCAATACTTATCACGTTTTCAAAATTTGAAACTTTTTTTTTATTTTTTATTTAAAGTGTATCCCTACGCATTCAATAATACTCTTTGAATGCTTCGACAGGCCACTTTAAGAAGTATTGATCATTAAAATATAACTTTAATCACATCATAGTATAAATTATTATAAAAATAAACTTACAATTTCTTCGGAAAAAATCATAAAACTCTCCACTTGTCAAAACTATTTTTCTTTTTTTTTAAATGTTACTAACAAGATAAACAATTAAATTTATAAATAAAAATACCTAGAAATATATATATATATATATATATATAATAAATATATTGTTGTACCCTATATCTTATTTATCGCATCCACGTCCCTTAAAACCTATCATGAGAGACTGATCTGCTTGACGTGCCAACGTTAATACACCATACCATGAACACATGCATGGTTGCAACACATCAGATCAGAAGCATGCATGCATAAACATAAAAATCATAGCTTTCACAACACAAATACATTTATGTCCTTCCATAAATCTGAAATGCTAAACATATTAGACATGGTATATATATTGCAAGAATCCCACTTGGTATAACTTTATCTGGCTCACATATATATACTCCAGGCAGGCACACAAGAATGTATATATAATATTATACACTTCAATTCATATCTTCTAACAGATCAGCAGTGTAAACATACATGCCAAACCAATGCAGGCACAATAAAAGCTACTCCATCTTAAATGATCCCAAAAACATATAAACACACTAAACATAGTTATCATATTTCATATGAAATATCAGATTGGGCCGTCTGAGACATTACCCAACACCTGAAATAACATTATACTAACTGAGCTCAATCATGCTATATGCCTGACGATAGAACTTACCAACCTTGATAGCGACGCTGCATGAGCTGTCAATAGAAAACCCTTTCCGTGATCATTTTTCATGGCCCCAAACGGTAAGGACCTTCACCCATATAATGACCTTCCATATAAAGAGCTGCATTCGGTGGATGATGCAGACCATCCATCACCATATATTGCATATCCTCAGAAGGTTTCCAGTGCCGTTTCCTTTGGTTGATGAACCAGTTATTAATTTGTTTCTGGTCCAAACCAGTTGATTCCGCCAAGGCCACCTTCTCTGTCTCCTGTAATTTATCCCGAGGATCCTAATTGCGTTAGTGTCTCCGAGAAAAAGTTCAAAAAGACAAAGAAGTAGAAACTAATTGCCTTTTTCAATGGTCCAATTTGTAGTAATGTGAAATAGCAGAATGCTCATATATATGAGAGAATACATACTGAAGGATATGGCCATTTGTAATGCAATTCCCACCAACTAAGCAGCTTCTGCCTGGCATCTTTGGGTAATTTCCCTTTCTTCTTTTTCTTCGAAAGCTCCTGCTTGAGACTACTTAAGTAACCACTATACTTCCTTAAGAGGTGGTTTTTAAGTTCTCGGTCTTCAGCACGCGGATCAATCTCAGGAAGTTCTGTTTCTCCACCGCTATTGTCTTGATCCTCTTCCGATGAACCAACACCCTCACACTTGAGCTCATCTATTCATCAAGTCATTCAAAATGTATAAATAATAAAGTAAGCTCCTGGGAAAATTCATTTGCATGCAACGTACAACATTATTGAAATCTCCAATGACACTGGTAGCAACTATTATCACAAGACTAAATTTTCATAGCGACTACATATATACCTGATGCAATGCACGAAACTAACACAAAGGGGGATCGTTTCAAATCTGTTGTCACCTAATCTGTCCTTCAGTTCTTCATTTTCTAAGTCCACTAGAGAATTACTTGCTAAATTTAATATGCATCTGACGGGAAGAAATTTTAATATCAACAAACTTTAGCACGTGGTTTCTTATCCTTGCAAATTAAACACATAAACCAGCCTGCTTTTTAGCTATTGCAGTGACCAAAACAGAATAAAATTTGTTTTTTACAATCTTGAAAATACTATCTATAATTGTGTTCTGATAACAGACTGTTTCTTAGGATGAATGTCTCATATGTGTATCAACATATTGAAGTGTAAATACAGTAATCAAAATCCCTCTGAAAACTTGGTTCTTATTTTCATGTATTTAGTAGATAGTCCCAAAGCCCTTGCTCATTAAAAACCTATAAAGCTTTCGTAAACAAAAGAAAGACTTTGGGATGTCGATAAGTATGAAATGGGAGAGTGCATATTAGTCAGTTGGAAATTAATAATGGAACTATCCTTCAGCCAATGGGAAGTGCCATAACAAAGAAATTTCTAAAGTAAACTCCCCTTTATCTAGATTAGTTGGGTACTAATCCAATCCTTCACCATTGCATCTCAAAGCCACATTTAGAGCTATGTTATCAACCGCCTCCTTTTGTTACTCTCACTCGGCCAACATTCTTTCTGTCAACTCAATGAGTGATACCTCCATACCAAAAAGGTACTACCACAACCTTCTTGCAATGAAATAAATAATAGTATAGAATGATATTGCTAGAATAAAATAATTTGCAATACCATTGGCAAATTATTTTTGACTTCTAGGTCTCAAATTTTCTGGTTGGCAATTAAAAATTTTGGAGAATTTCAGACAAAAAAGTTCATGTAGCATATGATTAAAAGCAATGAGAGATTAGAGTTTTGGTTGCAGTCATAAAAACAGTAAATAAGAAGTCTAAATTGATTAGAAGGCATGAATAAAGAGTTGTAATTAATAGAAGTAGAAGAAACATCTCCAATAAAAAACATTTAAGTACAAAGGTTTAATACTTGATCGTCTCCCCACTGTGCGCTATGTATTGTGTCTCAAATTCTAGTCTAATTAGGTTTCTATTTCAGAGTAGCATTGTAATTTCGTGTTAGACGATTCTTTGGACTCTATAAATAGATACCTAGGTTATGTGTTAAGACTTATGAAATTGAGAGAGATGACCTCATGACGAAGTTAATGGGTAGAAGAAGTTTACAATTTGGTAGAGTGGAGAGAGCACTTATGACAAAAGGGAGTACTTTTGTGGAGTGGTACAAGGTGGAAAGCTCTGAAGTAGAGTTTGTGTACACGGTCGTGTGTTCGATATTCTCTACCACTGTAATATCTACACATATTTATGGTGGAATCTCTTCTCATTCGTGGACATACGTCGGGTTATGCCAAACCACGTAAATCTTGCTTTTATTGTTTGTATCATTGCTTTATTTCTTCTTGATTGATCTCCATGTCCTTAGTGCGTCCTCTAACCCACCAAGTGGTATCAAAGCCTAAGGTTCATCTTGGGAGGTTTGGTCTTTATTTGAAGGAGATCTAAAAAACACATTGAGTCTCAACGTGTACTGCAACGGGTTTCAGTTGCAGGTGGAGTCAATCAGTCAATTTGTTTGGTCGTGATGAGTTACATGCCATGGAGCTCGAATAGTCAAAGTGGAGTCTAGGAGGTTTCACTAAACAAATCGCATACAGTAGAGACAATCAAATTTTTCATAAGGGTTGTCAAGATTGAAGTTGCAATGAATCGTCTTGTTAAATATTGTGTCTCAAATTTAGTCTAATTAGACTAATATTTTAGAGTTGTATTTTATTAGGTAATTTCTTATTAGTGTTGTATCATGTTTATGTATTGAAACTTGTGAGATTGAGAGAGATGTAACCTCATGAGTAGGCATATAGACGGATCAGATTCGGATTAGATCAGGCTTTAACCTATCCAAATCCGATAAGAGATACTTGATCCGATTCGGTAACCTAACGAATTATTTAGGATTGATTCCATATCCAATTTGTTATTTATTGAATATCCGATTTGAAAACCTAATCCAAAATTATATAATTTTTTCTTAAAAAAATTTAATGAAATAAAGAAAACAGAAAATTCGTAGAAGAAAAATAAAATATAAACCAAAAAAAAAAAGAGTAGAAATTACATATGTTACTTTTTATTAAAGAAAAAAACAATAAAGATAGATAAAATTGGGAGAGGGAAGAAGGAAAAAATGAAAAGAGATAATCCAAAATTGAATTGGATTACTATCGAACCGGATCGACCATAATCCATATCCGGTTTGAATAGCTAACAAATTATCGAATTCAAATTGCTAACAAATTATCAGATTGAATGTTCCAATCCATATCCAAATTATAGGATCAAATTTAGATCAGATTTGGATCAAAATCCGATCTATCGACAGGTTTACTAATGAGGGAGTTAATCGGTATAGGGAGATTATGGGTTGGTAGAATAGAGAGAACATTCATGACGAGAGGGAGTCTCATGGAGTGATACAAATTGAAAAGATCTGAGGTTAGAGTATGTGCACAGAGGTGTTTGGTATTCTCTACTATCATAATATCTCTATATATTTATAGCGGATTCTCTTCTCATCTGTGTACGTAGGTCACGTTGTGTCGAACCATGTAAGTTGTGTGTTAATTGTTTGTGTGATTATTTTATTCCTTTCGTTTGATCTAGCTCCATGTTTGTCAGCTTCCGTTGTCCTAACAACATGGTCATGGTTAAGGTGCCATTGTCTTTAGCTTTAACTAGGGTCATATAATGGGTATCGGCCATGGTGGTCATGAAATTTTTTTAATACTAATGTTGTGTTTGGTGTGCAGGAATGGAAAGGAATGCAAGTAGAATAGAATGAGAATGGGAATGGAATAGAATGGCAATTCTCATTCTATTGTTTGGTTGTAAATACGAAATGTGCAGGAATGGAATGTTAATAACCATTCTAGTGTTTGGTTGGACCAATTTAAAATGAAATAAATTTCAAATTATGTTCTCCAAAATATCCCTCTTAGTAACAAATAAATTAAAGTAACAAAATGACATTCTTCTATAATTTTTTTAAAATAAATGGTGACAATGGCGGTGGTGGATGGTAGTGACGATGGAAAGCGGTACATAGTAGTGTAGGTGGTGGTGTTGGAATGCGGCGGTGGTGGCAATGGTGGAAGGCGACGGCGGCAGTGTTGGTGAAAGGCGGCAATAGTATTGGTGGAAGGTTGTGGCAGTAGTGTGGTGGCGGTGGCGGTGGCGCTGGTGGTGGTGGTGGTGAATTTAAAATGAAATAAATTTCAAATTATGTTCTCCAAAATATCCCTCTTAGTAACAAATAAATTAAATTAACAAAACGACATTCTTCTATAATTTTTTTAAAATAAATGGTTACAATGGCGGTGGTGGATGGTAGTGACGATGGAAAGCGGTACATAGTAGTGTAGGTGGTGGTGTTGGAATGCGGCAGTGGTGGCAATGGTGGAAGGCGACGGCGGCAGTATTGGTGAAAGGCGGCAATAGTATTGGTGGAAGGTTGTGGCAGTAGTGTGGCGGCGGTGGCGGTGGCGCTGGTGGTGGTGGTGGTGGTGGTGGTGGAATTCGGTAGCGGTGGCGGTGGCGAAAGGCAGTGGTGCTAGTGATGGAAGGCAGTGGCGGTGGTAAGCGGTAGCAGTGGTGAAAGACGGTGGTGATGGTGGTGGTGGTGGTGGTGGTGGTGGCGACGGCGGAAGGTGGTGGCGGTGGCTGTGGCAGAAGGTAGCGGTAGTGAAAGGCGGTGGCGGTGGCGGTGGCGGTGGCGGTGGCGGTAGTGGTAGTGGAAGGTGGTGGCTGTGGTGAAAGGCGATGGCAATGGCGAAAGGTAACAGTGGCGGCTATGGTGAAAGGCGGTAGTAGTGGTGGTGGTGTAAGTTGGTGGTGGTGGTGTAAGTTGGTGGTGGTGGTGGTTGCGGCAAAAGAACACGATGTCGGTGGTGAAAGGCGATGGCGATGGCAGTGGAAAGCGACGAGCGGTGGTGAAAGTGGGTGGCGGCGGTAGTGGTGAAAGGCGGAGGTGGCTGTGGAGGAAGGAAGTAGTGGTTTTTGGACTTTAGAACATGAAAGTTTTTTTGGAAAGTTAATTTTAAAAAAAAAAAATTACTTCGAAATGGAATGGCCATTCCATATGTTTAGTTGTGGAATGGATTTTCATTCCAATAGAATGACCATTCCCACTTCAAATTGCATATCAAACAAAGGAATGATTGGAATGGGCATTCTATTCCATTCCATTCCTGCACACCAAACGTAGCATAAGGGACATGGTAAAAAATAAATAAATAGAACCTATAAGTGCGTAGGTTTTAACTCCAAAATTTATAAAACCATGTTAATAATGAATCTTAGTGAATATTTAAAGGTGATTTATATGAATAATGGCCTATAAATTAATTTTAAGGCATTGTCAATAGTATAAGTGAAAATTTTGCATTTTGCACTAAATTCATACAAGTATAAAAATTAAATAATTAAGCATGTCATATCACAAAAATCTTGTACACGAATAACATAGAAGTTGGAAATGAGTATACCTGTAGTTGGTACATGGAAACCACAACTCTAACTTGTTTGCTTGTATCCATTTGTATGTAATTTTTTAGTATTTTTCAATGAACTTTATTAATCTTCATATTTTTAAGCCACTTTCTTATTTACTTTTTTTTATGCAAAATAGATGCATATTTTTATATGCATAATATGAAGATGATTATAACATCATATTATACATGTTAAATAAAAATTTCAGAACTTACCAACTATTTCCATGTTTGGAACACCTAGAAAACAAATCTGCCAAAAAATCTTGAGTTTATTGTTTTTTATTCATAAATCTATCTGGCAGGTTGGGTCATGGGTGCTTGCTTCTCTCTATTTTGGTCTTAAAATTTTAAAAGAAAAATATATATGAGTGAGGAAGCTGAAAGCCTGTAAATGGGGTTTTTAAATCGAAGCCAAAAACAAGTCATCCCAAATGATACTTGGTAGAGTCAAACCGAGGTCTGGCCAAGGCGACAATGAACTTTGTTTAGACCGCGATCCAACCTGACTTGGAGTGAACTCAGGCCCAGTCCAACTCAACTCAGTCGAGTTAATTCGGGTTTTGAAACTATGTTTAAGAATTAGAAAGAGTTTACTCATTAAATTCAAATTTTATGTTCCCACTTCAAGGAATCAAACAAGATTAAATAATTATAAATAAAAATAAAATAAAATTGTCGGACAAGAAATTTGACTAGTCCATTTCCATATTGGCCCAAAACTGAAATTCATGGCCGTCCCGACCAGCAGTGATCTCTGTTTTGGCCGAGATATTGGCTGACTTAGTTTCCTAGTCGAGTTTCAAAAATATCCTTACTTAGAAGTTTACTCTTAAAATTCAAAATTTTTATGGCTTTACATCAAGGAATCATAGAATAATTAAATATTTTAAAAAAAAAAAATTAAAATGGTACAACATGAAATTTGACTAGTTGATTTCTAGGTTGGCCAATAGGCAATTGCGGCCTAGAATTGTGCCAGCCTAATGGCACCATCTACTTTAATATTTTCATTTGAACAACATATTCATGAAAATGTTGCCAAAGTCTTGGGAATATGTAATACATTATATATGTGTACAATGCTACTTTTTACGACCACGCAATATCATCATACCAATTCATATGATATTAAGCTTATAAATCACTTTGCATGTCGGATATGCTTCTAGGGCACTTCTCATTAAACAATAAGATTGAGTGCCTCAACATGACCACTCCTTCCCTCCAACCCCACCACCCAATAAAACCGAAAAACAAAAACACAAGTTTTTATTTTTCATGACCTAAATTTAAAAGGGCAAGGTATACCACATCGATTGTAGATCAATTTTCAAGTTGAAATGTGCTTCTTGAGGAAAAACTTTTACTGACCTGAGTTTCACCACCCCATCAAGCTTACAGATCTGTATTCAAGTTGAATCTGATTTTTAAGCACTTACCACTAAACTAGGAGATTGACTGCCTCTACGTGACACACCCCTTCTCCCTCCCCCAACACACACCACACAAACAACATGAGAAGGACAGACCTCAACATGACTCATCCCTGAAAAAAGTATGATTCTCCATGTTGGGAGTGAGGACGGTGCACAGAGAACTACAGTTTTGTAAGATAGCAAGCCAAACAAAACATTCTCCATTTTTCTTATGCAATAAATTATATACATATATTCATGGTCACAGATAAATCAACTAGGAATGGGTTCCTGCAGTCATTGACTCTTAACATATTGTTGTCACTTTCAAGTGATGATGATACCATTACACAGAAATGTACTTGCAACAAGTAACACATATAATTCTTTACAAATAAAATTTTATTTTCACATGTTCTTCAATCTGAATCACGAAAATATGTAACATTATATTGTGTTAGGCAGGAGTATGAAACAGCATAAGAAGACCTAGGCATTGATCAACTCATAATATCAGAGAGCAAAACTCCAAAGCCTGACAAACAAAAGGTGATTCCCAGTAGGAAGCATCGCCTCTAATCATGATCAACATAAATCAAGAGAAAGTAATCCCAATAGAGGTTTGACAAAATTCTGACCCGAAAATGATGGTTTTCACCCGCAAAAGTTAAGTCGTTAATTATTTTTCTGTAGCAGGTAACCCGGTTGAGTATTTTTTAATTCAGTGTTGACAAACTCTAATATTGAAATAGACATAATTATAGAGAAAATGCTCAAAAATATAATCAGTGTTTCAATGTAAGTTTCTACGATCTCTACAAAATAGAAAATTAACAACCACATTACTGCAAAAGATTTAATCAGCAAATAGGAGCAACCTCAATAGTTTTAAAAGAAGCAATGAAAGAAGAGGTCATTCTACCTTGGAGCCAGCTTCATTGTATCCAGAATTCTAGGTAGAAATTGTTTCTTTAATAGCATATAAAGAAGAGAAGAAAACAAGTAATGTTTAGTCCCATCTTCATTTTCTCATAAGCAAATTCTCCTGCTAGGAAATCAAATTAAGGCCTGAACTAGCAATAGAGACACTGCTTCCTAAACCTTGTTGTAACAAATATAGCGAAAGAAGAACACGATCAAGAAATTGTCAGAAAAGTAAACAAGCCACGCACAAAGATTTACGTGATTTGGTGTAAAGATTTAAGTTCACAATGAATATCCGAGCGAAAGATTTCACTATGCGAAAAACATGAGATTACAAGTTTCAACCCCTTTTTTCTCTCTTTCAAACACTCTAATTTGTGACTAAAAGTGTTCTCTCATCACGTACCCCATACCCCCTTATATATTGGGTTCACAAACCACAAGAGAAAACCAATCGGAAAAATTTTCCACTTTTGGGGTTCAAAAAGAAAAGAATAATTTCTATCTTTATCTTCTGTCTACCAAATTAATAATAATTACTTGTTACATTTACTCATTGGTTTAAGAGGAAACTAAAAGGCTCCTCCACACATGATTAATGCTTAAGTCAACAATTTTGTGAAATTATTATAAATTTAAGCATGAATGAAGATGAAAATAGCTTGAGCATAACTAATATTCCAAGTCATCAATATAAAATATGCAAGCATCCACATTGTAGAGCACCAGAATAGTCGTAGGAATAACAAGAGAAATTTAAATGAATCCAAGTCAAGCCAATGAATATGTTCTGGGGCACTCACCAGAAAGAGGATAAGGAAAAAGAATTTCATATTCAACAACAATAATGGGTGCATGAACGCCCACATTATAACTACCCAAAAAAAAAAAAAAAGGAAAAAATAAATGTAAAGGAAGCTTTCATTAAACAATATAGCCTTTTTTATTATATAATCATGCTTGGAAACACAAATCATTCCTATGCCCCCCCTAATAAAAGAATACAAGAACAACCATAACAACAAACCCTTTTCTATTATATAATCATGCTTGGCAACACAAATTATTCCAATGCCCCCCATAATAAAAGAATGCAATAACAAACATAACAAGAAGCATTAACCAAATCCAAAACTTAAAATACTAAGTATGTTTCCAAAAGTTGGATATGGACTCATTAACACATACTATGCCTTTAAATACATTATATGTTTTATCATAGCTAGTGTAATGTTTAAAGTTTTTGTTTCACAAGAATATACTCAATTATAATTCAAATTAAATGGGATGTGATAAAAGAAAAGATTTTCCATCTCTCATAGACAGAAAACCAGTATATGCTATTAAATTTGAATTTTTCCTTCTTCGATGGCATTTGAAAGATAGGAGCATCCAATTTGAGTTTGCGTGTTACACACACCCAACCCATATCCATGTCGTATCTTGCCGACACGGTTCGTACAAGCAAACGAGAGAGTCCACAGAAAAGTATGTGCTACTTATATTTTTGAAATGTACATAATTCCGCTAAACAGAAAGCAGGCATATAGAGCTATAACGAACAGGATATTTCATATTCAACTGCAGAATAACAATGGCAATAACCAACGGGCCAGTAGCCTTGTGGTATCTGCCTCTTACTTCCCAAAGGGAGGTTAGGGGTTTAAGTCTCAAAAGAAACATGTACGTGTGAGTACCAACTACGAAAAATAAATAAATAAATAAAAAACAATGGCAATATTAATAACAACAACAACAATTATAAGTGAATGACTTAGTAGTGGAGCAAGGGCAACAACTAGGAAATTAAGAAAGAAATAGTTTACATGGGAAAAGAAAAAAAATAAAAATAAAAATAAAAAATAAAAAAGAAATACAAGTAACTAGCGCACAATGGCTAGAGTCCTGACACAACCATAATACATGCTACCTAGTGTAGCACTGAAATGAACAGCATCCTATGTCTATCCACCTTCCAAGACTTAAGCCCACCCATACACAACCAAAAGAAACTGTTTCTTTTTTCTTTCTTTCTTTTTCACTTAAAAGGCAAACACAACTAGGGAAATAACAACAATAATAATGCCATCCAACTCCAGGTATATGTGTATACACATATATCTATATATGTGTAACTATATATACTGTAAAAATATACACAATTATCGAAGTAAAAATGGAGATCTAGAAAATTAAACACGAAAAAAACCTATGTTAATAATGATGATGTCAGAAGACTCAGAACCGATAAAGCTAGTCTATTAGAGAAGCCAAAATGTGATTTCATCATTGTTTTACACCATAAGAGCATTTTGTCTTGGTTTCTTCCTCATTATTTATTGTACCAAGTACAAATGAACCAAATCGTATCTTCTTCCTATAACACTCGTGATTCGTGATTAGGGTTTCTTCTACTATATATATATATATATATAATCTATACGGTATATGTATAGATATTATATATGCATATATAATCTATATATATATATATATATATATATATCGGTCAAAGTTTGGTTCACTGAAAACGGGACAGTATTGAATGAAGGAAATATTGACAGGCCTAAGGAAGGCTCCTAATGGTAAGAGACATAGACCCTTTCATATTCTGAGTGTGGACAGTCCAACTCTCAGTTTTGGACAGTACATGCAATTAAGTAAACTTGAGAACCCAAAACCCATCTCTGAATTCACGACTCAACAAACTCCTCCTATAGCAACATTCTTCTTCCAGGGTAGCCAATAACGATAATCAACCTATTTCTCTCTCTAAATGTCTATCTTTATCTCTCTAAATGCAGTGTGTTTGAAAGAGGAAAGTACCAGATGTATGGATCCGGACTGGGCCACTACCGAGCATATTGAGCTGTGTCTCTATCCTCCTCATGAACTCCATAGCCTCTTGCAATGGCCTTGCAAGCTCTTCTCTATACTTCACCAGCATATCATAATAAGCTTCCTGTACATTTAATTTTTTTCCAAATCAAATTTGTAGAACCAAAACCCAAAAAAGGAAAAAAAAAAATTAAATAAATAAAGAACCATCAAGAACAAAGAGACTTTAATGCAATTAATTGATCTAAACTACTAAAAATTGTATAAATATAATCACCATGAACTGATCGAGTTCTGGGTCTTTGGAAGCATCTCTTGAATTCACCGAAGCTCGCTGCCTACTCTCAAACTCTTCGCGCACCGCCGTCAGACGCGCCACCACTTCCGGAGGAGCTCCCACCTATTCAACACATAACATATATAGGGTGAGAGAAAGAGTAAGAGACAAAGAGACTCAAATCTTTAAAATGAATAACTTTTTTTTTTTTATCTTGACTCTTCCATTGCCGGTACCGGATGTGAAAAAGGAGGTCGGTTAGTGTCAGGTAGACAACCGAATGTCAAATCTTTGAAGAATTACTATCACTTCTTGTGAGTGTATAGTATGTGGTATGTGTGTATTGACGGAGCTATTTATTTATATTTATATATATATATATATATACATACAACCTTTTGGCAATTCATGTAAGCTTCCAAGAGGTTGGAGTACTGAGGGTGTGCAATGATCTTGGCTTTAATGGCTTCAACTTCACCAGAACTCTGATCAGACCCTTGTTGTTGTTGTTGTTCGTGCTGCTGATTAAGGACTGTTTGGTGGGCTCTAATTATGGGAGGGTACTGATGAAATTTGTTCTGAACATGTTGCGAACTACCCGCTTCAGTCTTCACGATCAGATGTGGTTGCGATTCAGAGTCGTAGCAACCGTTTGATTGAAGATTGAAGCTGTTTATGTGCATCTGATGATGATGATTGGACCCACTTGTGTTGCTGGTTCGTCCGTACACAGATGAACTCGGTGCAAGAACCGGACTACTAGCGTACAAGAAACTCCCTCTCGGTGTTGAATTCTCACTCATTTGATTGTAATCCTCCATTTTTGAAACAAACCCAGATGAGAAAATCAACTAAACTAACCAAAACAAGTGAGCAACTCAAAACCCTAAGCCGAAAACTCAAGAAATAGATGAAGATATTTGAGACACTTAAGAAACATCTAGTACAAGAAGAGAAAGAAGTGCATGGGTGGGTCTGATCGGTGGGGAGAGATGTTACTTGGGATTTTCTTGGGAGACGAACGAGGTATGGAAAGTGAGGGAGAAAATTTGCAGTGTTAAGGGGTTCAAGGAGGTCTTGATGTGAAGTCGGATATGGGTTTGGACATGCTTAAGGGTGGAGTGAGATCATATCATGAGATGAACATCGGAACGGCGAGCTTGGAGAGAAAGAGAGAGGGGGAGGCTCTTGGCCGGAACCGGCAGCGACTCCGTGACTTGGGTGGGATGACAAGACGTTCTTTGTTGAAAGAATAAAGAAATATATTTGAAAATTATATATATAGTTAAAAGCGATTAGTGGCTCGTACACAAGACTGTGTTTGGATGAGTACAGTTGGAAGGAAAATAAAAATGGGAGAAATGGTACAACATTTTGATTAAAAAAACGAGATAGAAAAAGGAAGGCCGGATTAGCAACGGCTTTACTTTGTGCTACTTTGAACCCAAGTAAAAATAGTGTTTCTGTTTTTAGATTATATTCAATACTATTTTAAATCTGATTTGATAATGTAAATTTGTTGTAAAATTTTTTTAAGTAAAAATATAAAAATATATTTAGTAAAAAATATTATAAGTTTTAAAAATTAAATAGTTAGCTAAAAATGTCATTTTAGATTTTTTTTTTTTTTCTTTTTTGTAACAATGCTTTTGCTACCGAAAATAATCAAAAGTATCATTTTTATACTTTCAATTTTGACCTCTTTTCCATAAACGCTTCGATACTATTCAAATATTGTCAAATATGTTTCGTGTTTTTTTTTTATTTATTTTTTTTTTTTTGCTACATTACATTAGTAAAAAAAACACCAAATAAAAGCAGTTGTCAAACGGACCCAAAATAATGCTTCTTATTTCTCAAATTAGAAATTTTTAATTAGTCTCAAAAGGATAGATGTTAAAAATTGTTGTCCCACGTCCAGTGAGAAATGAATGAAGTATATATGAGCAATCCATCAGCTTAACTTTTGAGTTATATGGCAAGCATCCCATCCATCAAAGTTGGTATCCGAGTGAGTCAGACTCAATCCTTCATCCTATATCACGCCAACCGCTCACCCAGATCTCTATCATAAAAGTATAGCATTACCTAACAACTTACACTTTTGGGTCAGAACACAAGTGCCTTAGGAAAGGCTGCAACTAGGGTCAGCCTAACCCGAACCAACTCGGGCTTAGTCATTGTAAATTTTAATTCAGTCTAAGTTTGGATTGAAAAGTAAGAACCCAATTTTTTTAGGACTAGTCTATGTAAATTGCAATTTAGCCCGAGTTTGCATTGAAAAGTAAGAACCCTATTTCATTTTAGACTAAACTCGGGTTTCTATGTTGGGCAACCTGAGCCCACCTGAGCCCTCTTGAATTAAAAACCCGATGAACCCGAATATTGAACCTGATATATATATATATATATATATATATATATATATATATATATATATATATATATATATATATATATTTGTGTTGGTTGCATGTGATTGATTTTTTAGTAGGTGCACTTGATTGTAACATACATGACATGGTGAACTTAATAAATTTTGATCAATTTGTTATTATGTCATTAATCATGAAATATCTTCAATTATTTTAGTTGTGAATTAGTTAAGGTTATTTCATTTATTCTTACAACCCTCCAAATTCATAATTGAAATATCAACCTGAGTTGAAAGCTCGAATTTATTCCAAATTCAACCCCAACTTAAAAATTAAGGATAGGTTAGGCCCATGTTGATGATCGAGTTAGGTTGGGTTAGGTTTGAATATGTTATACCATGGGCTAAGCCTAAGTTCAGTCTCCAACGCGCCTGAGTTGCACTCCTTAGAAGAGGATGACTACATGTATTCGGTGATGGATTAAGGGTTGTTGAAACCCATAATACTTCAAGTTGTTAAAAAAGTCGTTTTGAAACTCTACGAATATATGGGTTCAATGTAGAAGTTTCTTGCTTCATTTTACTTTCCTCCTCACTAAGTTCTTAAGCTTAATTATTCCTCCTTGTTCCGAACTTACTATCATTTTAAATTAGACTAGAGACTGGAATGGGATTTAGACTAGTGCCAGGCTTGTTTAGTGTTAAATCCATAACCAACTTAAATGAACTTAATAACATTATATTAGTGACTATTTTTGGATTAAAGTCAATATTGCGTGTCAAGGGGATAATTTCAACATTAAACATTAGAATTTGAGCTATATATTCAGTTAAATATATATTATTTTTTATTATTTTATTTAAATTAAATTATCATATATGTCATGATATATATATGTTTGTATATTTGCATGTATATATTATTATTATTATTATTATTATTATTATGTTAGTCGGATTTAAGTTAAGATTGGTGGTTAGCTTATATATATGTGTAATAATTAGAGAAGAGGGTCTTTGGTTTCTACGTGAGTTTTGAGAGAAGAAGAAAAGGGGGCTTGGCATAAGAAGAGAGAGAAGGAAGAAGGTGACTAGAATCATTGCCAGAGTTGAGGAAGACAACGAGAGAAGTTGTAATTGATTTTCGATCCCAAAATCAAAAAAACAAGTTTTATGTTCTACTCCTCTCGTTATTTCTTATAAATTATACACCTTATTCTTGAATTTAAGGTTTAACTGTAATTAAATGATTAAACTGTTCTGTATAATTATTAAGAAATAATCTTCAGACAATGTAAGGCAGAATTATGTCTATCTGAACAGCAGTTCGATAAGTCCGTTTTCGATTGGATAATAGTATTTTTTTTGGGTGGAAACGATCAATTGAGAAAACCTACTAGCTTTAACTTGTGATCCATGTCAGTTTTTGGCCAAAAACCATTGTTTAGGGTTCCGAAATCGCGTTATTTTAATCTGTTAAGAGGTATCAGAATATTTTGTGATTTTTGTTGAAGGCTAAAACAAAATTCGATTGTTCTCAAATTTTAAAGTTGGTAATTTTTGTTGGTTATGTTTCTTATTATATTTTTCTTAGAATTTTTAAAGAAACATTATTTTTAGGCTTATTTTCGGAATTGCATTCATCGCACTAAAACTCAATAAATTTTAAATGATGAGTTAAATATAGGGTGTATATTTAATAAATAATATTAATAATATTGAAAACATACCGAGTATTGTATTAGAAAATAATAATCATAGTAGAAGTATATGGTGTAATGTGAGACATGCTATTAAGCATAATTATTAATTATCGTTGATAAATTATACTTATTATATCATTGTTGTTATTAGATATTTTGATAAATGAAACTGATCATATTATAAATTATATTAATCATAATGTGATTTATTGTGATTTGTGATATTAATTATATTATAAATAATATATATCATAATCGGATTTAATGAGATTTATGATATTAATCATGTTACTTATGATGATTAATCATAATGAGATTTTAGTTGTGTTTGTGATACTCGTCATATTGGTGTGTTATGGGATACTGTAATAGATGATGATAATCATGCCTTTCTATGCTTAAATGATGATTATCATATTAATGATTTGTACTATGCACAATGATGAGCTTATTTAAATTATCAGTTGTAATTGATAATAATAATTCATATATGAGTTATGTGCATTGTGGAGAACATGTAGGTTGGCTAATAAGTATAAACTTGCTTTTGTTATTTGGTTTGGTTGTGTAGTATGTGGTGCCATTATTAGATATAGTTACGATGAGATCAATATGTGTACATGACATGATCATTGAGATAGCTAATAAGTTAGACTCCTTGATATTGTTTACATTATTAGATATGGCTTTCTTTATGACGGAATCATCGAGATAGCTAATAAGTTAGGCTCCTTAATATTTTATACCATTGTTAGATATGACTTTAGTATTTGATAAGTATATGGGCTGGCTAATAAGTCAACACACGCTACATTGTGTGCATATGGCTTGTTAATGATACTATTATATATTTATATGTGAGTCATGATACGAGTCTGATGTCTCGGAATCAGTGATTAGGACTGAGGTGTATATTGCCAGATGAGATGAGTAGCTTGTATATGTGATTTGTCAGCCCTGGTAGTAGAGAGGACACTTGACCACTTCGTGTGCAATGTTAAGTGATACCTGTTATCAGGTTGAGGCTGCCATATATAGAATAGGCATTTGTGTGTGTGTGTGTGTGTGTGTGTGTGTGTGTGTGTATCGACTATGTAGCTATGGCATGTGTTTGGCTAGGGGCGTATCGTTTATCGGTTCTTTAATTGAATTATAATAAGAAGAGCTTGTTTGTAAGTCTGACCCACACTTTTATTTTTCAGGTCTGCGTCCATTCCAGACTTAAAGTTCGTACGTGTTGATCAGAGAGTTTTCACATTCACTCTTCTGAATTTTTATGTAAGCCATTATCTTAGACTTCATTTATTGTTTAGACTTATTATTACTTTCAATTTTGGATTTCAATTAGGGGTTCATGTTTTACAGATTCGTGAGTTGTACTTTGGAGGTTTACGTGGTTGTGGAGATTTGATATTTATTAGATTTATTCATAGTTTTAGTATTAGATGATTATTTATTATTTTAGTTTTCCTTTCAGCTATTATTTATTTATTCTTATTTCATTTTGTATTCTGTGCTTATTTTAAAATATTAATTGTTTGATATCCCCCAGTTTTTGGGCGAGTACTTGATCAACCCGCGTTCAAAAATTAGGGGGTATCACAGTTGATATCAGAACACTCCAAGTTCAAGTGTCTTTAGGGGTTTTTATCGTATTTCGACTTCCGTATTGCGTATTGTTTCATTTAAAGCCTAAGTATTAAGGTTCCTTGTATTCCATATCCGGTTCATTAGAATGTACTGATGTCAATTTTATTCTGTGATTACAGAATGGTTGGCACTAGGAAGATGATGGGGTCCAAGGCGAAAGTAAGAGATAACCTAAAGAAGCAAAAGGATACTTCATCGATTTCTTTGCCATAGAAGACTTAGAAGGCAAATTTAGAGATCAAAGGTTTGGTTCTGATATATGTTGTTTCAAAGTATAGCAAGGTTTCATGTGTACATGATTGGTCACTGTATTGTGGACTCAATGCAACTTCAGTGGTTTTTGAAGCAGTGAAAAGCGACAAAGAGGATTCCAAATAAGATCCAAATGAAGGAGATTCAGGAACACCCAAGAAAGAGGGTATCGAATCTCAAAGATGAGTGATCTTTTAAAAGTAATAATTATAGTTGGTAGTATTGGAAGTAATATTAAAATGAATGGTA